CTGAAATTAAAAAAAAAAGAAAAGAAAAATAAGGAATCATTGAAAATAGTTCTCAAGTTGTCACTGTTGGTACTCTCAATTAAACTTGTTTATTCATGTATCCATTCAATCAATAACAACGTATTCAGACTACTACTACAACAAGCCAAGCATTATACTTACTACTGGGGATATAAAAAAATAAATAGAATACCTCTGTCCTATGGGATTGCCTAGTTTAATGGAGGTGTCAGACAAGTAAACAATTACCACATAATGTGATAATTATTGCTCTATAGTAAGAGTTTGCAGAAGAAACTGATTGCATTTGAAAATAGAGAACCTAACGGACTTGGAATCAGAGAAGTCTTGTAGAGGAGCCTCTGTCTGAGATAAGGCTCAAAGAGTAAATAGAGGTTTCCCAGAGGGCTAAGGTGGAGCAGCTACTGACTTTCCAACTCTTTGGATTTTTGAGCTAACATTATGACTTGAAAGAACAGGGCAGGCCTGGTTTGGACACTGTGGCTTCAGCTGTTCCTGTGGTCTCAGAGTTGTTCTTTGCCTCTCCTGGGCAAAGCATTAGTTTCATTGATTACATAACCAGAATTGATTACATAACCCATAGGACTATTCTACTTAAACCTGTGTGGTATCTATTAAAAAGAACAACTTGTGGGGTGTGTGGCATTATTCAACCTGGGTTTATCACACAAGCATTCTACAGAATCCAGATCTGCTTAGCAGAGGAGCAAAAGCCCCAGGCCCAATAAAATGCAATCGACATTGTTAAAAAAAAAATACTATATGATCCATTTACAAGAAGCTCTGGAAAAGACAAAATTAACCATAGTGATAGAGAGTAGTTACCTGGGCAGGAGATGAGCAGGAAATGAGGGAACTATAAAGAGGCCCAAGGGTACTTTCTGGGAGGATGGAAATAATTCTGTATCTTGACAGGGGAGGTAGTCACACAGGTGTATAAATTTATCAAAACTCATTGAGCTTATACAAGTGTAATTTACTGCATGTAAATTACATCTCAATAAAATTTATTTTTTAAAAATCGCCAGAGGAAAAAAGATTAATTTTAAGAACGATTATAAAATAAAGACACTTTCAGACACACAGTGAAAGAGAGAGAGTGCCATGATGTATATCACTAAATATAACATATTTCAAGCAAAAAGAAAATAATCCCAGACAGAAGTTCTGAGAAAAAAGAAGTAATGAAATAAAGCAGTAACATCATATGCATTTTTTAAAAGCTAGAGTTAAGACATATATCAAGGCCAGGCGCGGTGGCTCACGCCTGTAATCCTAGCTCTCTGGGGGGCCGAGGCGGGAGGACTGTTTGAGCTCAGGAGTTCGAAACCACCCTGAGCAAGAGCAAGACCCCGTCTCTACTAAAAATAGAAAGAAATTAATCAGACAACTAAAAATATATAGAAAAAATTAGCCAGGCATGGTGGCGCATGCCTCTGGAGGCTGAGGCAGGAGGATCGCTTGAGCCCAGGAGTGTGAGGTTGCTGTGAGCTAGGCTGACGCCACGGCACTCACTCTAGCCCAGGCAACAGAGTGAGACTCTGTTTCAAAAAAAAAAGACATATATCAAATGCATATAAGGTGACTTAGGAAGTGATAATAAAGTAGTCTCAGTTTCCTTTTATCACTGAAGGAAAGGAGAAAAAAAGGTCCTAATTAACTTCAGATTTTGACAAATATGTTAGAATAACAAGAGTAACTAGAATTTTTTCATATACGTCAATACTCAAACTTACACTTTAAATGGATGTGTTTATTCTATGTAAATTATACCTGAAAAAGTTGATTAAAATAAAAAATAACAAGACTACAGCTTTCAAACTAGTAAAGGAGAAAAAGTGGAATAACAAAAAAGTAACCCAAATGAAGGCAAGAAAAAGAGATAAAATAAATGGAAATATAAAATAAGATTTCATAAATATAAATCCAGATATAGTAATATAATTATTACTATATATAATATAATATAATTATATGTAAATGTTCTAAATGTTCCAGTTAAATGACAAAACTCACTTGATTTTTAAAAATCCAACTATATGCTGCTTAAAGGATACACATTTAAGGTTACTGAAAAGCTGAAAGTAAGATTTAAGAAGATACCAAGCAAATAAATGAAGTTAATGTAACTACATTTATATTTTTTAGAAATGCTTTTTGTCTTAAAGTCTTAAAGACAGTAACTTCAGAATAATAAAAAGTCCAATTCAAAAAGGAATGAAATTCAATTTACATGTACACACAATAAATAAGTCTCAAAAAATATATAACAAAAATTGACACACATGCAAAGAGAAACAGATTCATAATCCCAGTGAGAAATTTTTCATAGTGAGAAATTTTTAATATACTTTTCACAGTAATCGATAGACTAAGAATAAGAATCCATAAGGACAGAAAAGAACTTCTCAACACAATTAACAATCTTGTCCTAATAGGCAAATAAATATACAACTGTACCTATCAATTGCAGAACAATTCTTTGTAAGCACACAAGAAATAGTAACAAAAGTTGACCATATTCGAATAAAACAAGCCCCAAAAATGTCAAAAGATAATTATAAAAACTATGTCCTTATCCCACTACAATATGCTATAAGTCAATCAAAAATACAAAAAATTAGAAACTAAAAAGCCAACTTTGAAATTAAAAAATGAAACAAAGAAAAAACATAATGGAAATTAAGTTTCAATGAAAAGATAATGAAAATATTAAACACCAAAATTACTGTTTATGAGATGCAGCTAAAACAGTAATTAAAGGGCAATGTATAGCCTAAATATATACACACACACATACACATGCAAAGAAGAAAAGCTGAAAATTACTGGATACCTATCTTAAGAAGACAATGTACAAAAAAGAAAAAAAAAGCAACAAAAATCAAGAGATGGTACTTTAAACATAAAATTTAGAGATATGAGGATTAACTTAAAAAACATGCTAAAAGCGATTTCAAGAATTAGTGGGTGGGAAGGGGACTATCGATGTAAAACTATTTGACTGTTTAAACTTTTTCCATGGATAACTTCGATAAAAATTTAAAACCAAATTAAAAAGAGGAAAAAAGAAATAAAAACAAAATATAACCAAAATCCATAAGGTAAATATCATGCTACCATAGATGTATGAAAAAAAGAGCTAAATAAGTTCATAAGGTGCCGTGTAGGAAACCATCAACATTAGCCTATTCTGGGTGATGAACTATGATTAGGAAATAGGGAATCTAAACACAGACATTCAAGAAGAATTTATCAGAGACTAAAAGAAAGAAAACTTGCTTGTGAAAGTATGAGAATCAAAATCCTGGCCTTGACAACTATTATAAAATTATTTTTCTCTATTCCCACACCAAAACTACAATTTTTAATCACATTACAATTGTCCCCCCTTATCCAAGATTTCACTTTCCATGGTTTCAGTTACTGGAGGGTAACCACAGTCTGAAATATTAAATGAAAAGGTCCAGAAATAAACATAAGTTTTAAATTGTGCGCCATTCTGAGTAGTGTGATGAAATCTCAAATTGTCACATGCCCATCTTGCCCAGCATATGATCTGTCCCTTTTTCCAGTGTATCCACACTATCTACACTGCCTACCCATTAGTCACTTAGTAGCCATCTCAATTATCAGATCAAAGAAACACAGAATATATATGGCTCAGTACTATCCAGTTTCAGGCATCCACTGGGGGGGTCTTGGAATGTATTTCTTGTGGATAAGAGGAAAAGCTGCTATATGTATTTCTCACACGCTCATAAACAGAGAAGAAAACAAGTGAATTCTTCATACAATAATCGATTCCCTCCCTAAATTCCTTCCACAGTATTTTTCTGCCTTGATTTAGCAGTATTTGTTCTCTCTAGGGTTTTATTTTCAAATGTTTCTTAGCTAGGCACAAAAGTGTTAAAAGAGCAGCAGGGTAACTGCTGTAGGTTGAATGGAAGAAAATCAACTTGTACTCTTTCCCAAATGCCTCTTCCTGCCTCCCTCTTCCTTTCTTTTTTTTTTTTTTTTTTTTTGACAAATACTTTTTCCTTTATCCCTGCCCTCCTTCTATTACCCCTGATTTCAAAATGCCTTCCAATGTACCTCAAATCTAGAGGGAGCACCGAGACACCTGGGTAAAAGCAAGGGAGGTGGGGGTGAGGTTGCTGCATCTTCTACGGCATCCAAGGCTCGTAAGTTCCCAAAGGGAAACCTGAATAACTGAATAACTAGAACTGTGAAATGCATAAACTAGCTGGCAAAGATTTCTCTTTTTTCTCACCTATAACCTCACATTAAACTCTTTTTCTTTAAGCAACCATAAATTAAGTAAATGGAATGTGGGTTTGCAGTGAGCACTAAACAAATCTGAGAGACAATCTAGTACACTTTAAGATCCTGAGCAGTTTCAAAGACTTATCCAAGGACCCACCAAAAGTCAGCAACAGGGTAAAAATAAGAATCTAGATCTACTAATTGACAATAATTCAGTCACCTTTACTTGCTGTGTAATTAATCCAGGCTGACTATATTATATTCTGGCAAGTAAGCGAGGGTAAGAAATGTTAATAAGAAGTCACTCTTCCTATGAATTAACTTTGCTCTTGAGACTATATTTTTAATTCAGTACTTTTTTTGTTCTCACCTCCCCATTAGTTAAACACAACAGATACACGAAAGACTGTGACAAGATTTTGAAATGTCATTTTAAAGAATATAAGAAAAAGAGTAAAAAATTTATGTCAATTAAAAGTGATGAAGAAAATCTGACAGAAAATGAAAGTTGGTCCATCTCTCCTCATTTACTGAGGTTGTAAGCAACTGCAGCTCAGAATGTTGACATAATTGTCCAATGTCACTCCAGAAAGCAATGCTAGTTTCACTTTTTAGAAATGAAAAGCAAATTAAAAGTGATTATAGGCCTAAGGGAGAAAAAAAAGAACTTTTTATTAAAATCCATTAAGATGCAGAATTTTCTATATTTATACCTGAAAATCATCAATAAGCTCAGGGAAAAGGTGTTCATACATTTTTAGTTCTTCTATTTTTCGTCCTGGTTCTTGCTGGGGTTTTAATTTGTTAATATCTGTTTCAATATCATCATTCTGAAATTTAAAAAATAGCACATTAGCACTTAAAACAAAAAAATTACAGAATACATTAGATTTAAAATGTTCCATGTTATTAATTACATGTAATTAGAGATGGGCTCCTGAAGACAGAAAAACCTCTCTCAAGATCAAGACTAAAGTATGCTCTCCTCAATCTCCCTAAACTGCCATCATGTTGCTCATATTAAAGGGTAGGGAGGGGCACAGTGGCTCACACCTGTAATTCTAGCACTCTGGGAGGCCCAGGCAGGAGGATCGCTTAAGGTCAGGAGTTCAAGACCAGCCTCAGCAAGAGCAAGACCCCATCTCTACTGAAAATAGAAAAAAAAAATTAGCCGGGCATGGTAGCGCACACCTGTAGTCCCAGCTACTCAGGAGGCTAAGGCAAGAGATCGCTTGAGCCCAAGAATTTGAGGTTGCAGTGAGCTATGATCACACCACTGCACTCTAGCTGGAGTAACAGAGCAAGATTCCGTCTTTAAGAAAAAAAAAAGACCAACAGATTTAAAGCAACATTATCTGCCCTTTTAACTGCAGTCATCCACGGTAAAAAAAAGATGTGGATAATTAACCTACCATTGTATATATTTATTTACTCAATCATTATTTTACAGCTATAAATTTATAAAGTTGACTAATGACAGAAATTTATACTAACCTTAAAATTTTGATCTAAGTCATCTTCATTCTCGGTTTCATTTTCAGCTTCTAAATCAATATCATCGTTGTCATCACTTTCATCTACTACGTCATCCACTATGATACAAAATGTGCTATAAGTAGGTCAGAGGTAAGCATTCCATGACATGCACATCCAAAGGTAGAATGTTATATATATACATATGTATATATAAAGTATTTCAATTACCAAAGAAAAGGTAAACAAGATTTCTTATTAAAAATGTCCTAATGCTGTCCTAGCTGTTAAAAAACCTTTGAGATAATATGTGAAAGTGCTATAAAATTTGGAAAGCACTATAAAAATGAATGAGTTTTTTACTAATGTTCTCAGTTTTAAAAAATTAATACTGTCTTATGTTGCAACAGCCTTAATGAAATAATCTGTTTCCTACTTAGGATAAATTTCAATGATTCACTTCATCCCTTAAAAATTCTCCTCCCATTGTTTCAATGACTATGTGCCATACACTGTGCTGGTGTGCCAGGAATTTTTTTTTTTTTAAGATGTGTAAATGCAGTCCCTGCCCTCAGGGAGTTCATGAGGTTAAAGAGCAGAAAGGAGTAAACAAGTAATTTTAATACAGAAGATAAACACTAATGAAAGCATAAACTTCGAAGTACTATGGGAAAACCAGGGATACAATAACTAACTGCAAACCACTTGGGGCAAAGGGGTTGACAGCTCTCCACTTCACAGGTGATATTTAAGCAATATCTTGAAAAAAGTGTAACAGATTTCTATGTAAATATAAGGATAGGTGACTGTGACTTTTAAGAAGAGTAAGTAATAATTCTAAAATAAGAAAGTTAGATAACACCTTTGAAAATAGTAAGTATGACTAGGATGCATAATATGCTTAGGAAAGTACTGAAAGGCAAATAAGATGAGAAAATAAAGGATGTAATATAGTAAGCTGAATAGTTTAGACTTTTAACCTACAGAAGATAAGCACTGAGAATTTTCAAGAGAAGAATGGTTTAATTCGACTTGCATTTTCAAAAGATCACTCTGGCAGGCATGAGAAAGGAAGACTTTAAGTGGAGGGAGACCAATTAATAGGAAAAAAACCAATAACTGCCTGGACCAATACAGTAGTAACAGGAGAGGAAAGAATACGCATTAAAGAAAAACTCAGGGAGTAGAATGTAAAAGGACATGGGACCATGGATCTAGGGGGAGACAAGGGAGGAAGAGCAGAATACTTTGAGGCTTCTCATGTAACAAGTGCTTTTAAGCAAAGTAGAAAATATATTTAAAAGATATTTTTTCAAACTTTTTGACTTCTATTTCCAATGTGACTTATAGAAAAGATTATTAACTGTACCCCTAGTATCTGTTTTCCTTTCCTTCATTTTAGTAACTGAAGCCCTGAGTTTTACCTATAGGGATATCAGCCTCCCTTACAGTAGTCATAGCCATATATATGACCAAATTTTGGCTAAAGGTATAAGCAGCAAAGTGATGAATACAAATCCCAAGCCATGTTCTTTAAAAAGAAAACTGCCCTCTCCTCCATTTTCTTTCTCATTTTCCACATGCACACAAGGAAATCACCATAGAAGATGATTAAAAACAAAATAAAGAGAATCTCTTTCCTTTGATGACCTGGAACAGAGGTCTGCTGCCCAGGACCACCTGTCTATCTTCTAGACAGATATGTGAGGGAAAAAACTACCTTGTGGAAGTATAGCAAAAGGGCTCTGGAGACAGAATACCTGAATTCAAATCCTGGCTCCCACACTTACTAGCTATTTGATCTTGAGCAAGTTACATAACTGCTTTGTGTCTTAGTTTCCTCCTCTATATAATGGAGATACCTACTCATAGTATTCTTGTGAACATTAAAGGAGTTAATATATGTAAAGTACCAGGCAAAAAGTATGTATTATAAAAATGTTTATTACTATTGTTGTTTGAGTGACTATGATTAGGCTATCCTAATACCAAATTGCCTCAAATTCTTTTTGGAAATGCAAAATATATTCATATTGCATATGGTAACCTGGGTCTACTTATGCCTACCTATGCCCTAACAGCAGTCAGTCATGGATAAACAGGGGAAGAACTGACATTTAGAAAAATAAAAGGAATAAAAAAGAACTCTTAGAAAAAAAGAAAGCAATTGAATTCAGAAAAACCTATTGCAAACAAAAGACTGCTTGGATAGTGAGAGGGGAAAACACAGTTTAGGGTCAGAAAGAAAATGTTTTTAATTTTTAGTCAAATCTTTCAAATATTTTCCTTTATATGATATTTTCCTTTGGGTTTATACTCCAGATGTGAAACGCCATATAGCTTAGAGTGTCTGAGACTTTCTTTTCTATTCCAAAGATCTATTCTTATACCATCACCAATAATTAATAATATTATTACAGCTTAATCATACAATTTAAACCAGAGAATGTGAACTAAAATTCTTAGTTTTCAAAATTCCCTTGGCTCATTTATAGTAAAAACAGAAATACAGGAAACAACTTATAAATATAGGTAAGTAGTCAGATAAATCATACATCTGTATGATGTAATCATCAAAAGGAATGAGTCAGCACTTTCTGTGATGATTTGCAAAGTATATTCCAAGGGGTTTTATTTTGTTGTTGCTATTGTTCCTGTAAAT